ATCAGTGGTTTATATTGAGAATTTTTTGATGAAACCAAAGGGAAATCCACTGTTAGGAAGTGTCAAAGCTATCATAAAAATTTCGTAGAGATTTGGATAGAAACAACGTAGTATCAAGATCAAAAAACAGTGCTATGCGACGGAAATTTTACAGTGCAGATTTTCAAGTATAGCAGATTAGATATAAAATATCAATCGTTTATATTAAGAATTTTTTGACAAAACCAAAGGAAAATCTGCTGTTAGGAAGTGTCAAAGATGTCATAAAAAATTCATAGAGAATTGGATAGAAAAAACACAATAGCAAGATTAAACAGACGGTGCTATACGGTTGAAATTCTGCAATGTATCTTTCGTCGTAGAGATGAAAACTTTATGACGAAAAGTTTATGCAGAAATAGAGGAATAGTTTTTTTGGGATTTTCAAATAAGGATAACTAAATTGCAGCAGCAGTAAGGTAGAAAATCAAAACCTGTTGCAATTCACGGGGAGATCAAAGGATGATCCGTGGTGGTGGAGATGACGACAGAATTTGATGACGAACTTTTAAGCAATTGTGAGAGTTGCTTTGGATGGTTGTGGAGGGTTGATAGATGGCTGTGGAAGGGTAGCGAGACGCCAAAAACGCTGCTCTAATACCAGGTGTTAGAACTCTTGCAGATTCTAAACTTGGGGTTGATCTCTTTAGGGGATCGGCCTCCTTGGAACTCTATAGGGGTTCCTCCCTCCAAGTTGCTGCTCAAAGGCTGCAGAAAAGATTCATCTATTGCTTATGAAAAGAGGTGGAATACATGACTATTTATAGGGCTTCTAAACCCTAACTCCTAATAGGACTCTTACTTAAGACTCCTTCTAACCAACTCCTAATAGGACTCCTACTCAAGACTCATAATAGGACTCTTACTTAAGACTCCTTATAACCAACTCCTAATAGGACTCCTACTCAAGACTCCTACTTATAACCAACTCCTAATAGGACTCCTACTCAAGACTCCTACTTATAACCAACTCCTAATATGACTCCTACTCAAGACTCCTATTCCTTTACAACTCCTTATTCTTCTCTAAGAAATAACCTCCTAACCCTAGCCGGCCACTTCACCTCTTTAATAGGGGTCGGCTTAGGTAGGTTTTACATAAATGTCCCTCTCAATTAGGACTCTCCTAATTAGAGTCCTAACAGTTTCTTCGTAGTCGATACCTTCTTCTTGGTTGAAACCTTTGGCCACTAATCTAGCCTTGTTTCTAACCACGATACCATTTTCATCTTGCTTGTTTCTAAAGACCCATTTAGTACCAATGACTAAATGATCACTAGGTCTAGGAACAAGCTTCCATACCTTATTCGTCTCAAATTGATTTAATTCCTCTTGCATTGCAATAACCCAAAAATCATCTTTTAAGGCCTCGTCATAAGGAAGCCGGTGTTAGCACAAAAATTCTTGAAAGAGGAACGAGTTTGAACCCCTTTTGATGTTTCTCCTATAATTAGCTCCTTTAGATAGCATCTATATACTTCCATTCCTTGGATAAGAAAATTTCGGAAGAAGGCACATCCAAGTTGTTATTTTGAGGAGGGGGTTCATTTAAGTTCAAATTATCAAAACCAAGATCATCATCAAAATCATTTTTCTTTAAATCAAAAATTTCATTAAAAACTACATGAATAGATTCTTCTATTACTAAAGTTCTTTTGTTAAAAACCCGAAAAGCCTTAGAAATGGAAGAGTAACCAAGAAAGATGTCTGATTTAACATCAAATTTTTCTAAAACATCCCTTTCATTCAAAATAAAACATTTATAATCGAAAACTTTAAAATAAAAAATATTTGATTTTTTGCTATTCCATAATTCATAGAAAGTTTTTTATAGGGATGATCTTATTAGGACCCTATTCATGATGTAGCAAACCGTATTTATGACTTCGGCCTCAAAACTTGGGTAGACTATGTTCATTTGACATCGTATCAACACTTCTCAATTATCTACACTTCTCAATTACTACGACCAAAACAAGTTTAGCAGTTGCAAGAACATAACGACAATCATGATCTGTTTTCACAACAACTAATCCCAATAATACACTACTCAATGAACAAAACTTAACAGATCAGATTTCCCTGAAACTACGCTTTTATCTTTCCAACTCCCAAAGCCTGCCTTAGAACATAAGACAACAACAATCAACTAAGGTCACCAAGACAAGAATTATAATATAAAATTGAGTTCAAATTATATGCAGCAAAAACCACTACGCGGCCTCTGCGTGTCAACATCTGGTCAGCAATAATAAATCAACTGTTCCCAAGTGGCCCACCGACCCTCATCGGTTCTCCTTTTCATAACCAAGGCAGTGCTGATGCTCGACAAAATGGAGCGGATTCTGATGAATGTAAAGACCCAAGCTTCGAGAATGACCACTTATAGAAAGTAGGGCACCCCTGTCCTTGGCCCACGCATTTGATTGTTCTCCTCGGTTTCAGTAAAGAACTTCACCTCTCTCTCCTGTCATGGTTGTTGAGGAGAAAGTCAATGCAATTATAGTAGTAGCAACTTCAAGAGCTGCGAATAGTAACAGGGAAGATAACTTTCTTGAAAGATAGATATAGTTCCACGTTAAGAAACTTCTTTAAATAGATGGGTTTGTACACCAATGTTGCTCTTTGGATACTAGAAACAGATTATTCATAACCATTAATCAATTGCACATGACAATTGCAAGAGGCTATCAGAGAAAGGCAGTCACAAGAGCAAGCCAAATAGGAGTGTCATACCATATTTTCGTTGAAGCTCAGAATAGAAGCGACATTTCCACACCGGTAACAATAATTAGGTGCGGACCAAACCTGGAGAAACAAAAGAAAATGCAAAGTTAGTCTGATAATTAGAATTCAGGAAGCATGGCATCTAGCAGTATCACAACTTTGAAAAATTAATGGCATTTAATATTATAAATGTGCTTTATATTACGAACTCACGGTTACAAGGCCCTTGTCTTGAAACATATACTTTAGGCCTTCCTGAACCAACTGATGCGCCCGGCAAATAAGATCAAGATTGTTTATGCGATTGAACTACAAGATGGGCATGAAAAAAATGCTTCGTGAAGGATAAGCAATTTAAATTAAAACCACAAAAGGTAACTCAAAAAGATCCGTCTCATACTTCAGCTGTCACCCTTGATCCAAAAAGCCAACCTGCACCACGAGGACTGACAGCCCATGTTTCAATCTCTTCAGGATCACTCCACATAAGATCACAAAAAGGGCCTTCATGCGGGATTTCAGAGTTACGGTCGATGACCCGTATCTGTTAATCACAAAATAAGGCAGAAATCAAGGAGCGATAAATTAATTTTAAGGCAGAAAGAACACAATACACATCTAGCAGGGAACAAGTAAAACAGAACAAGGATGCACATCAATGTGGCTACAAAATTAATTTTACACTTGTTTGCAAGCATGTCAGTTATAAATTTGATGAATTGCCTACTCATGTCTGCTCAGAATAAACATAAATGTTTAAAAGTTAAATTACCAAATCACTCCTTATAAAGTGCATATTAGTGATCATAAGCACAGTTACACTAATTCCGGCAAACTACTTAACCGGTTTATGTACACAACCCTGCCAGTAATCACTTTTAGATCTGCAAGGAAACATATGTCTTAGATTCATGGATGTGCACTTTATGCATGCACAAGATACCCCAACTCATCTTATCTAAAATAGCCATCCACTGCTGTTAGTCCAGCCAAGAGCATATAACTACCCTACCAAAGTAGCTTTTGAAAACCTGAAATTAGCTTGCTGAGACTCCATGTACCTCTTCCACATCATTTTCCGCCAAAAAAAAAGTAAAATCAATCTTTTTCTTATCATACCCGTTTAGTTTCCTTTACATATATGCACACATAAAATGAAGTAACTCAATCATAAATGTATTCTACAGATGAATGAGCATATTTAGGCAAGGTCCTATACTTGGATAGCTACTCATCATGTCTATGCCAAACCATCAGAAAATGCAGTAATCATCAATTCTTATACTAGGCTGTCTGAATAAAAGACATTCACATTTTTTGCATCTTCAATTCTTACAGCAAATATTCTTACATTACTTTCTCTAAATTAAAGAAAATAATTATTTATTACTTCATGTCATTGTCATATATTTGCATGAATGAGTCTAAAGTTATTTCACGAATCTTTATTTCATAAAATATGCACCCTGACCTATCTTTTTCTTATTCCTAGTATTTTCTCAATCACATAAAATATTGGAACTCTTTAGTATGTACAAGATGAAAACAATAAAATTCATGCCAAAAAGGTCCAGATGAAGTTGAAACCGAAACAGAAACATCAAAGCATGCTTTTTAATTTCCAACTGCTCCAAAACAAATGTTCAGCTACAACCAGTTCTAAACAAGAAAGAACACATTACATGAAATACTAAAGAAACGAACAGGTGCCAACACGAAGGGTTCTAGTCATGGAGAAGTAAAAGCTGAAATTTATAATATGGAAAAAGGCAACAATCAGTGAGAAGACTAAGAATTTCCAAAGAACTTGCAAGAAGTGCAAGGATATTTGTTCAGAGAAACCAATATAAGCACAGCTCCATACAATTTCAAACACAGAAAATGGCGACTTATAACTTCATACCAAATATTTGCCCCATTACTGACAGTTGGGATCCTGTACATTTAACCTCAGGTCATTTGACACAGTCTGCAACACCACTTGGGGCATTTTTCATCACGGACAATCATGCAATTCGATGAAAATTGGGCTGCATATTGTGTATTCAGATGTGACCTAGGTGAACACAATACTGGCTGATCTATGATTACTGTGGTTGCAAGTTCAACATCCACATACCTACTGAGGGTCATTTATTCTAGAACCATGAGTAAGTGTTTCATTGCTTTGACTTCAGCCCTAAAATTATCATTGGTCTAATTCCAAATGTTCCAATAGCCCTAATTTTTCATCATAACCCTATTGCTTTCGTGTCCTTTGTCATTATAGATACACAAAGCGGTAAAACATGGATAAAGTTTCAAGTATTCAATGCTTATTTATAAAGAATAAATGGCACACCTGATCAATTGTTCGTACATCCGGTGAAAGACCACCATGAACACAAAGAACCTGCAGTTATCAAGCAGCATACTATCAAGAAAAGGAGACAAAAAAAAAAGAACAAAGGAAACATGCATATATGCATTTGTACCGAGATAAATTAACTTACAGTTCCATCTATAATTGCCGAGAGGGTAAGGTAGTCGAAAACATCAGTGCAGTAACGCCATGCATTGGCATTCCCATACTTCCTCTGGCACTCATCATAAAAGCCATAGACCTAAGGTAACCAAACATTTCTCATCAGCATATATAAATATAACAAGATTATACATACATTTCTGCATATTTGTATGCAAATTAGTCATCATGATCCTCAGGGAGTTGAAAAGAATTAAATGATACATACAGTACGAATAAGAAGCTAATATTATGACCAAGTTTAACAACGAAGAGACTAAGAAATGATTAAATGACACAAAGATCTGCACCATATGCAATTATGGCACAAACAAGGCATTATATACTGCTCTCCAAGTTCTGGTTTTACTTATTGAGCTCAGTAGTGTCTTATCACATGGCACAAATACATCATCTCATATTTTTAACCCCAACTTTCAATGGCCAGATAGAGGGTTAAATAAGCAAAGAAATCAAACGCCAACATAACACTTCTGCTTCCAAGAATGACAAGCACAATAGCCTCAATTTCCGGGTTTAAGACCTCAAACATAGTCCACAAATTTGTTCAAGTTCTCAACAAAATCCAATCACTGTAATCTTGGGAGGTGGACATAACATTCTGTCCAATTGGAACAAAAAATCATACACATTGTGATCAAACAGTAATACCAAGAAACGGAAAACCATTAAATGACAAATGTGATTCTATTATGTGTATGCCAAAATGTGTTTCTAGTACAAACTTAACCAGCATCATTATACAAGACATCTGTATATGGCTAGGAGACCTTAGTTCAACCCACATTTAGCTTGTCCATGAGTTCAAGTATACTCACCTGGAGCATTAAGTACACGGTGAACAAGGTGCAATGAAATTCTATCTTTAGAAAATAAAGTCTTAGGGAAACATAACGCAACATATTTTTGATGGAAAGGTTGACTTCATAAATTATAATTGTCCTTTTCATTTCAGAAGTGTAGCAGGCACACATGTTCTCTATTTTCTTGGATACCATTAAGTGGCTTCCATAAATAAAAGCATAACTCACTTGAATTAGAAAATACTTTTTGACATGGTTTGTCATGTCGACCAATACTGAGCGATACGAGTGGTATGTATTGGCCCGACAGGGACTCGCATGTAGACCACCATGTATCGGGCGGTCCATAACAAGGGACCCTGTATCGCTTGAGACGATGTCTGTACTGGACCACTGGTCGAAATAGTCGAAATCCGATCATTACCGACCTGTAGTGATCGGTAACAATCGGATTTCGACCGATACTGATCAATGGTTGGGATTTGTTGAATTTAAACGATCCATTTGATTGTTTGAACCAAATCTAAAAACCCTTTCTACCCCCTCATTCTCTCCCCTTTCACTCTCTCTAAATCATCTACACTCAATCACTTTCTCACTCACATATTTGTCTCATTCTCTCATTTGCAGTCTCTTGAACTCCACAAAGTTGTGATTTGTGAATTAGATCAGGCTTGGGAGGCTAATTAGGGATGATTAACACCTAAGTTAGAGGAAAAACTCTCTAATAAAAAGTATGTATTTTTTTCACGAATTTTGATGCTTTATGATATGATTAAGCCTATTCTATGTTCTCAATATCTAGCATGTCGTTTGGGGTCTTTATGATGGTATAATAGTATTAATTAGCAAGTAATTAAGGCCTTTAATGTTACGATTAGTGTGATTGACGCTGATTTTTTTTAAAATTAGACACTTAATGGGTCAAATCTTTGTATTTCATGCATATTAAGGTGATTTATATGTTTGTGATGGTATAATAGGTTTAATTAGGCTCTCATTAAGTTTTTTAATACTATGATTAGTGGTTTTAATGATGATTTAATCAAAATTTGATTCATATTGGGTCAGTTCAATGTCTTTAATACCTATTAGAGTATTTAACATGTTTATAGTGGAGAAAGATGACTAATTAGGGATTAATTAACTATGTTAATGATGTAATTAATATATTTTTCAACATATCTAATCAAAATTTGATCCATATTATGTCAATTAAATGTCTTTACTGCTTGTTAGAGTATTATGTAAATGGCGAGATTAGTGTATTTAATAATGAGTTCATCATAATTTGATCTATATTGGATCAAATTTACATATTTAATGCCTCTTAAGGTGTTTGACATATTTATAGTGGTAAAATAGGACTAATTAGGGTTTACTTAAATTTTTTTAATGGTGTAATTAGTGTATTTAATGATAAATATATTGTTATTTGATCCCTTATTGGGTCAATTTTATGTATTTAATAATTATTAGAGTGTTTGACATGTTTATTGTGGCAAAAGAGAGCTAATTATAGAGCAGTTTGTGTTTTTAATATTGTGATTAGTGTATTTAATTATGAATTCATCATAATCTGACCTATATTAAGTCAATTATATATATTTAATGTTGAATAGAAATGATACTAATGAAGTGATTTAGTAGAAGATACAAGTGGAAGACCCAAATAAACAGAGAAGGTACCATGCATGGATTGTCATTTCACATACCAGACCCGTATTGGTCCCTAGCTAAACTGTGTATTTAATTATAAATCCATCGTAATCTAACCTATATTAAGTCAATTATATATATTTAACAGCATGCTAGAAATGCTACTGATGAAGTGATTTAGTAGAAGATGCAAGTAGAAGACCCAAATAAATAGAGAAGGTACCATGCAAGGATTGTCGTTTCACATACCAGACCCATATCGGTCCCTAGCCAGACCACTACATACCAACCACTACCAATGTAGTGTACCAACACCTGGCATGCTAAAATGGTGTTTCGAAGACTAAGAAAAAAGAGGAGGAATGCGCAATGGAGGAAGAGGAGGCTGAGGAGGAAGCAGAAGGAAAATGAAGGAGGAATGGAAAGTAAAAAGGGGAAGCGATGGAGGAAGGAGAGGACACAGTGGAGGAAGAGGAGGAAGGAGAAAGAGGGAGGAGGAGAGGAGGAAGGTATCTGCGCACGAGCAACGGGCACCAATGGCAATGGCTGATTGCACAAGAAGCAAGAAGGGCTCTAGGCAAAGAGGGGTCACAAACGAGAACCCTAATGTCTATTTTTATTTTTTAATTGTTCGAATAGGCCCAAAACGAGGACGATCCACATACTGGTTCAAGGTCGAACCAATATGTACTACCCGTTTCGTACTAGTCCAGGCAAAACATCAATAAATGGTACTATGACTCATAACAACAAACAAATGAACAAAAACATGCAAAAAATTATATATCAATTTTGCATAATTTAGCTTTGATAATATACTCAACATTAGATTGAACATGGTGAACTCATAAAAGCTTAATAGTCATCAGTTCACACAAAACATATCACAAAATTGAAATAAATAACTATCAGCATACCTGAGTTAACTGCCTGCTCTCATGATTTCCACGCAAAAGTGTGATGTTTGCAGGGTATCTAAATTCAGAAACAGATCAATAAATCATATCGACACCACTAATTTAAGGAAATTTCTAAAAGAAATTAATGGTGGGAAAAACAATGAAAAACCAAGAATTAATATCCACTGAAAAGCTCATCAAGTAAATATGATAATGGAAGGCATTGCAACCAAAACATATGACACTAATCCATGAAGAAAGCAAGTCAACTATGATGCATAAAGAAAATGTCCGTGCTAAATGTTTTCAAGATCTTACAATTTAATATATTGCTCCAAAAAGCATCCTGATCCCACATGGAATTGTTTGAGTAAAACATATAAGTATATCACCAATTAATTATAATACCGCACTTTGGATGAAAACATCCGACAACGTTATTTATCTTCATATTCATCCATTTAACTATATGGTTTGGTCATAATTTTGGCATTATTTAAAATAAGATACTTTTCAGATATGCTCCTATATGTTGAAAAAGATGTTATCCGATTTCATGAGTAAAGACAAAAAGATGTTACAAATAGTTTTGAGGCTGAAGAAAATTCAAAAGTACATCAACAAAAAAGGTTAAGCAGTCTATGACACAATGGAGTGAGCGCGTAAAAGGTTTAGCTACATCAAGAAATGTCTGTTTCAGATTTAGGCTTGCTAGATAGGACACCTTCTCTTTCACCATTTACACACAATTCAACTAACTCAAATTTCAATTTATTTTATTTCTATTATTTTAAACTTTAAACGGCATGAGTAATAAAAAAATAATAGCATCACTCATAGTTGAATCCATGAGCAATTAAAACCTAGGACCCAGTATGATTTGCAACACTGAAGACGGCCCATATGGCAGGTCTGACGCTCACGGTTACTTTGGATTATCCAAAGCGAACTCCACCGTACAAGGCTTGAGGTTGAGAACATGTTTATGTGAGAAGCACTAAACTCAACACATAAGGCATCAATTCGAATATGTTACCATACAGTACAAGGTTTCTTGGCAGCCCTTACATTGCATCTAAATGTATGGCTGAACAATTGTCAGCATGCATATGTATGTTTATTAATGAATAGGTACCTGGCTTTTAGAAGCAGAAGGATAGTGAAAACTTCCAAACTATTATAGCCACGATCAACAAAATCACCCTGCCAACAGTGTAAGCAGAATTTGCAACATGACATCAGAATATGCAATTATAACAAGAACACATTTTGCTTAAAAGAACATGAGAAATTCACCATAAAGATGTAATTCGTCTCAGGAACATGACCTCCAGTCTGGAAGAGTTTCATTAAATCATGAAATTGACCATGGATGTCACCGCAGACAGTTACAGGGCTATTGACAGGCTGGACATTTGACTCCTCAATAAGAATCTCCTTCACCTGAAAGACTTCAAAGTATAAGACATAAACAAAATGCAACGGAATCATAATTTTGAAAACTAGAATGCCTGTCATAGAGTGCTAAAATAATGCATGATCTTAGTGGTGTCAAGTAAATTAAAGTTGATGACAAATTAGCAGAGTCTGTCACCTTTAGAATTAAAATAACTATGAAAAGCAGATGCTAATAATGAATTTGTCCCTCGTCTAGCAGGTCAGTAGTAAATGTAGAAGTAGTGCCTTCTGAACTCCGACATTAAGTAGTCTCTTTAAGATGCAGTTACCTCAGGCAAGGTTCCTAGCATATGTATACCTCTCAGACTCTTGCCATGGTATTTCAACTCATTAGAAAGGTCACATGCCCTACACAACTAAAGGAATAGATCAACCAATCACACTAGTTAAAACTCAATATGAAATTACCAAATGGTAGAAGAAAAGATGCATTACATGAGATCAACTGTAGATCTCATTGGAAAGAAGTATTTCACAAGAGTTGGGGTTGCTTGAGCAAAGAGGGGTGCAAACTATTTACTTTAACTGACTATAGCATGCACCTTGTCTTTATCATTATCATGATTAAGGAAAATATGAAAAGAAAAGCTAGCACAACAATGCCTAACATGTCCCTAGCAGAAAATACTGACGGTCACATACAAGTATGAAGTTGAACTTCTACTTAGCAACTTTCTTAAGGTATAAAACACTAAATGCAAGACCACAAAGAAGAAAGATATGGAGAGAAACTTTTCTGCAGAATATCATCACCTAATAGTGGATTGAAAATTTGTCAAAAAAAATTAATAGAAGGAACTCCAACTTTAAGGAAACTTCCCATGAAGGTAACTTTATCCAAATGAGATAATTGAAGAACTAGGGGAAAAAGGTGTAGAAAACCTTCATTGCAACTTTTTTGTTTTTATTAGGATGGGTTGGTGGTGCTGGTAGTTGTTGGGAGCATAAACAACCACGAAACCATTTACGACAAAACTTAAGGTTATACTTCTTGCATATGGAAGAATGCAGTAAAGAATATTAGCCTTTTCCCTCACCATAGATCACAAAAATAGCCCTTGAATGTTGCACACTAAAGTGATGCCTTGAAACTAACTTCTCACTTAGGTACTTTGGCAGATGTTTAAATGCCACAGAACTTTTGCATTTATCAGTTCAAACCAAGATCTTACAACAAATTGCACGTACTGAAACTAGCACCACAATGCCCATCTACGTTAACTTTTTTCCACTAATTGAAGTTTCAATACTAACAATGTGGAATTAACAGAACACATTAAATCAATCATAAAAGTATCTTCATTCTTCACACAACCCAAGCATAATGTTACCACAATTCAAATGCATATCTGCCGTTTGAGAAAAGAAATTCATTAGTCAACCAGTATAGATGCATTTTCTATCACCAAAATCAGACATACATCATCTGCTATTGCAAAAAGAAACATGGAACACAAACTACAATTTTTCTTAGAAGCTTCTACTAGCAATAAATAAACAAAGTTTATGGCTTGATCAAGCACCAAAAATTAGACCCTGCAAACTAAATGATGAGAATAGAAAATGTGCCAAGTCATTCTTGCCACCAATCTCATGCCTAAGTTAACAATAATTTATTCATTTCAGAAGTACCATAACATAAACTAATCAAGCACCATCTAGCTAATTCAAAAAATAATTAGCAACAACTAAACATAGCATCTAGAGGATACTAGTATCTCAAAAAAAGCTAATAGGTTTTCTTTGTAACACGTTTTTATTAGTTTTCCAACTTGCGATCTAGCGCTTTGAACCTTGAAGCTATACATGAAACAAATTGCTTGCAAATCTCTTGCAAGCGGAGTTAGTCCATTCTGAATCATGAACAGAAATCAAACCATCATAAAGAAAAGAGTACAGCCATCGTAATGCACAAGTCTTTGTTGTCCCAAATCTTGGTTTCGAGAAGCAAATGGGCAAAGAAACAATCCGGGGCCAAACCAAGAAAGAACGCACAAGAATGATGATATCCTAATTCGGGATAAACCCAAACCCTAATACTCACGACGAGCAAGAAGACGCCGCCCAGGAAAATTTTGAACGAGATGGCGAGAGGAAAGGGGACTAAAGAGAGGGAGCGACGCTTACGTATTCGCAGAGCAGCTGGAGCTCATCCTCTTGCAAGTGCTGCCCTTCCTTCACCTTGGAGATCCACAGATCCAAATCCATCGCCATGAAAGGAGAACGACGAGTTCTTCGAACAATACCGCTCCCGCTCTTTGATTCGACTCGATTGGAGAGGGGAAGGGAGGAAGAGGGGGGGAGAGCGAGGGATGGGAACGGCAACAGCTCCGTGGGGTGCGAAGTCCTCCGCCGCGTGGTTCGTTCCCTTCGCCGTTCTTGATGCTACAA